ATGGTGCAAGAGGTGAAAATTATGATCTTTTTTTTTCCCCCAGGAGGGAGCACCAGATTAGAAGTAGCGTATCCTTCAGATGTTTTTGAGAGGGAGAGAGGATAGGGGAAGAATGCATAATCCATTTTGCTTGGTAAAAAAAAAAAAGCCAGCAGGCTAGTGCGGTTGAAAGGACACTTCAGCTGGATTTCCCCTCGGGTGCTGCTGCCTGCCCGTGTCAGCAGGAACCAGCCCTGGGAATGAAGTGCTCGGGGAGAAGCATCTGCTCCCTTGACAAATAAGACTTGGAGTAGCTCATCTGGCTGGAAAACAAGGTCAGGGGACAGCAGACAGGGTCTAAACCCACCTGCACGTGCCCCTAAGCGTGTCCTCCACCGTCGGCACTCAGGGCCCCCGAGATCTCGCCACATGTACGAGCTGCTGTGGAGAGCCAGGCCGTATGCAGAAACCTTGCAGATGCCAAGCCATTGCTGTGCTGGGGTTCTGGTACTGCTGAAGCGTGTGCCGCGTGCACTGTGACAGCTGCGGGACGTGTCCTCGCCGGGCGTCATGTGGGCGAATCCGGGGAAGACAGGGCTGGCCTGGGCAAATAGGCACGGTCGTCCGTATTGAGCTTCCCTGTGTCATCCCAGACCCACTCCAGGGGAGTCAGCTGGCCTGGGTTCAAATCCCCAGTCACCGCTTAGCAGCTGGGAATCTCGCCTGCCTCAGTTTCCTCACCGTAAAATGTGTGCTCCGTAGATGTAAAAATGAAGTGAGACGGGATGTGAGTGCCTCCCCAAGTCTACTTCAGTTAGTACTGCTGAGGAACAAGTCACCCAGGATCCCAGAACTTAGCGGGTAACACACACATCTCCTTGTGCTCATGGATTCTGTGGGCAGGGAGTTGACATGGGCAGAGTGGTCCTCAGTGGGTGTGGGGGTGGCAGGCCGATGCCAGGGCTGGAGTTCTCTGGAGGCAGCTTTGCTCCTCGCTCACAGGCTGCGTCTGATGCTGGCTGTCGGCTGGCACCTCAGCTGGGCTGTTGGTGGCTGTCATGGGCAGTGTCACCATCAAATTCATATATTGAAGTCCTAACGCCCAGAACCTCAGAATATGACCTTATCTGGAGAAAGAGTCTTCAAAGAGGTAATTGAGTTAAAATGAGGTCATGTGAGTGGGTCCTAGTCCAACGTGATTGGTGTGTTTATGAGAAGAGAATAGGACACAGATACACACAGCAAAGGCCACGTGAAGACAAAGGAGAAGGCAAACGTTCCTATCAGCCATGGCTGATGAGTCCTCCCTGTAAACATCCGGCCTGGACCGCTCTCCTGAATCCACCGTCTATGTCCATTTGCTTACTCACATTTCCGCTTGAAGCTTGCAGACAGGGGTCCTCCTTTGCCTCTCGGGGGGATATGTTCCAAGACCCCAATCTTAGATGCCTAAAATTGCAAACACTACTGAATCCTATATATACTATGTTTTTTCCTATATATACATACCCATGATAAAGTTTAATTTATAAATTAGGCACAAAAAGAGATGAACAACACTAACGAATAATAAAACAGAACAATTATAACAATATACTGTAATTAAAGTTATGTGAATGTGGTCTCTCTCTCTCTCTCTCTCAAAATGTCTTATTGTCCAGTACTCACCCTTCTTCTTGGGATGATCTGAGATGGGGTTCAGCACCTGTGTGATGCAATGGAGAGAGATGAATGATACAGGCATTGAGACCCAGCGTTATTTTCGGACCTTGGTTGACTGCAGGTAGCTGAGACTGTGGATAAAGGGGCACTACTGCATCTCAAACTAGATAATGGTTTAGACAAAATCAGTCTCTCTCCTGATGTCTTTGTTGTCTGTTGCTGCACAACGATATTACCACCAATTTAGTGGCTTAAAACAACACACACTTACTATCTCAGAGGGCCTGTGGGTCAGGAGCCTGAGCACAGGTTAGCTGGGTTCTAATCCAGGTGTTGCCTGGGCTGTGGTCTCATCTGAGCCTCAGCTGGGGAAGGGTCTCCTTCCTGTCTCGCCTGGTTATCGGCCTCATTCAGTTCCTTCCAGACTTCCCGGCTGAAGGTCTGTTTCTTGCTGGCTGTCAGCTGGTGGCCGCCCTCAGGCACTTGCCATACGGTGGCTCCCAGCATGGCAGCTTGCATGTTTAAGGCCAAAAAGAGAGGAATCTTCTAACAGCATGAGTTACAGTCTTACACAGCATAATCACAGGCACATAATTGCCCTCCGCCTTTGCCATATTCTGTTGGTTAGAAGAAACTTACAGGTCCTGCCCACCCGGAAAAGGAGAGAATTGCACAGAGTGCGGATACTGAATACTGAGAGGCTGCAATCATCAGGCCACCCTAGAGTTGGCCATTGCACCTGAACGACACACTTCTCCCCGTTTCCCACCTGAGTGGATGGAAGCCTGACTCTTCCATTTACTCCGGTCAACATCCAGAGCCTTCTCCTTCACTTTCCTTCATTTCCATCCCACACCAAGTCCATTAGCAAATTCAGCTGATGCTCCTTTGGGACTGTGGCTAGAACCCGACAGTCCTCCACCTTCACTGCCACTGCTCTGGTCCGCGCGGCCACCTCCCACCCAGAGGGCTGCAGTCGCCTCCTGACTCTTCCTTGCCTCTGCTCTTGCCCCTCAAGTAAAAACTCTCAGAATAGCAGGCAGAAGAACGCCATAAAATGTAAATCAATAACAGATGAAGCCGCTGCCCATTCAAACCCTCCAAGGACTTCAGTTCAAAGTCAAATACTCACAGAAATCTACAAGCCCGCCTCGGGGCTCCTGCCTCTCTCTCCTGCTGCCCTCCCCCTTGCTGGGCTCCTGCGCTACCGGCTCCACCTCTCGGCTCTTCTTCCTTTTGCCCAGAGCCTCCTGTCTCCTTCCCTTTTTGCACCAAGGCTTCTTTCTCTGTGGACCTTTCCTGAACATCCTTTTTAAAATGTCAGCATCGCACCCATCCGTTCCTTCCCTACTTTGTGTTTCCTGCCAGCTCCGTGGGTGCCTCTTAGCTAGAGAAAAAGTAAAAGTCTTGCCTGCCGCCTGGCCTGCAGGGCAGCCTCTGCCTGGGTCTCTGGGCTCCCCAGCCCCTACCCTTTGCTTTGCAAATGGCCTCAGGCATCACCTGAAAAACTCTTCATCATCCTTTAGGAGAATTCGGGTGGGACCCCACGCTCTCCAGGCTGCATCAGGCTCGCCTTGTAGGTGTTGCCACAGATCTCCTTTATCATAGACTGTCTCCTCCACCGTACTGTGAGTTCCCTGGGGACTGTAAATTAAACGAGTCACTATTTGTAATATGCTTCGAAGGGTGCCTGCAAGCGGTACACACGATTTGATAGTTTAAAAATTCAAGGAAAGAACTGTGTGTAGTTCATCTGCGTGCCCCATCCCCAGGGCCTAGCCCTGAGGGGTCAGTCAACGAAGAGCTGCCACGGGAAGGAGGGAAGCTGACAAAATAGAGATGAAAATAACAAGAAAGAGAAGTCATTGCATGAATCATAAAAGGTCCGATTTATAAACCAGTGCAGTAAACAGACTTTGATTACCTTCAGCACCTCCTTGCCCCCAGCGCCCAGCCCTCCCCCAGATTTCCTGGGAAATAGTCTCCAGAGCTCTTTAAGGAACCTTCCTCTGTGATGCTGAGGGGCTGGGCCATTCAGATGTGCTTACCCACCATGTCCACTGAGCGCCTGTTTTGCAGAAAGGCCTTACTTCTGGTAGGTTTATAATGAAGGCTTCGAAAGTGCTTAGAAACACTTAATTTTCCTAAGCAGGTTAAGGAATACACCTATAATCCTATTTCCCCCTCATCATTTGCTTAGCTAATTATTTTTTCAGTCCAGGTCTTATCGGATTGATCACAATTCGTGAATTAGTGGGGTCTGAAGCAATAAGGTTCTTCAGGATCTTTAATTATATGTAAAGATGGCAGGATAATTCTCTCATTTAGGGCAAGACAAAGGGAATTAATTAAGCGTGACAAAATGGGACACAGAGGTTAGATGTAGGAAAGGATTTCTTGTCTATCAATGTGGATTCTCATTCAAAACGGCCCAGGGGGTGGGTCCTGATCCGTGGAAGTCTTTGCAAATAAGTTCTGTTTATATTTGTCTGGCCTTCTAGATTTTTATGTCCTGGAGGTACAGGTACCGGAAAATCTCTTAAGGACCCTGTCCAGGCCGAGATGCTCCAGATTTGTGATTTTAACACAGTCATTTTCTGAAGCGAGGATCAGTGAGGTTGCATGGTCATGATCCACGGCCAGAGAAAGGATACAGCAGCAGGTTCGCGTCTAAGTGGAACAACTAAAAATAAATATTCCAGGAACTATCAATTGCTCTTATGCTACATTTGCTTAAAAAAAAAAAAGAACCCAAACTAGGCTTTTTTTTTTTTTTCACATCTAAAAATGCTTTCCTGCGTGGGCTCATCTTCTCTCCATTCTTTTGATGGATTTCTGTGAGCCCACCAGTCCTTATGAAAACCCTGCTTTTGAAAGAAAGCAAGGCACTGTTAGAGCCTGCTCAGTAAGATATTCTTGGATTTGCTAAGCATGTGAGGCCAGGATATCCTTTCTTTGGTGACCACCTCGTCTGCCCAGCCCCTGCCCTGTCCAATGGCTGAACTGACCCCCAGGGACTTCAGAGGACCAACTGTGGACATTTATGAGCTCATCTGCCTTCATGTGGGTAGTGTGAAATCAGGAGGCTGAAATTGGCCATGATGGAAGTTTCACCTTGTGGAAATTGGCAAACACTACAGATAAGGGTCTCTCCATCCCTCCAGACCTGGTCATTCAGCACGGACCCCCACAGCATGGCCCGATCCCACATGCACAGTCGTGTGCACTCAATATTTACCCCAAGTAAAGACCGAAGAGCGAATGTACCATGAATCACAGGTGCGTGTTATTGAGCAAAAAATTTGCTGACAGGAAAAAAGAAGCGGTTAGAAATTGTTCAAGATTATTACATACACATTTTATTACATTACTATTGGATTACTACATTATGACTGGTAAGGAGGCATGAAATCTCCACATTTTTAAGCCAGCTATGGAGACTTAAAATTCTCCATATGAAATTCAGCAATTGAAAGATTTTGATCCAAGAATGGAACACATCGGTTTCCAAGAAAGTCCTAAACACATAGACCGTGCTCGAACGTCGGGCCCAAGCTGTGAGATTTTGTGTCTTAGCATCTTCCCAGGCCGATCTGCATCCTCAGTGGCACAATCTTCTGGACTAACACAGGCACCGAGGCAAGTCTGCCAAGAAATAAGTTTTATAGATTTTTTTAAAAGCGAATTATCATTCTGTAGTTAAATTAACAAGTAACTCTATTTGCAAGCACCTATGTCATTTCGGACTCTGTTGAAACCCTAGCTTGTCTGCCCAAAGCTGAGGTCTCTCTTGGAAAAGAAGATCTATTCCCATTGACTATTGTAAAGATCAAAGTTTTCCACTCCCATTTTCTCTAAATTTCTACTGTATTTTTCATTCGTCGTTGGGATTTTAAAGAGGAAATGAGAGAGGGACACGTGAAATATCAACTTGTCCAGGGCGTCCCCTGAGACCGAGAGAACTGACCAGCTCTTCACCGCCCCTCTCCGGGCCCCCCAACCCCACCCCCAGATTGCAGGAAGTACAATCCTTCCATTCCTAGCAAGACGTTTTTAAACTTAAGTACAGGAAAAAGTGTTAGCTCACTAGGAGAGGGGTAAAGACAACCCCACCAACATTCTGTAAATATATTACCCTGCTACCTTAATCAGGTGAATTTTCTTGCCTGCAACACCTTGTTGAAAACCAAACCAACCAAACAGAAATTCAAGATCTCCACCCAGGTGGAGAAAAAGAGGGGAGATTAATTTCAATCCCTTCTGAAGAGTTTAGAGAAAAATATGATCATATATTTGCAATTTGCTGTTCCCATTTTGGTGGGGCTGTGGCCATCTCCGCTTTCTGTTTGAAAATGTCCATTAAGACACCCACCTTTATCACCAACACTGTGTGTTATGGCCATTCAGATTTGCAGAAGAGACTCAAACATATATGAAAAAAGTTGATGGTGAGGCTTAAAAGTAAGCATGGCTAAACATCACACAGTTTACGACACGAAACCGAGCAGGCCTCCAGGATCCCTCGAAGGCCTCCAGCTCCACCCTCCCCTCGCAGCCGCCTTCCGATGAGGTTTCTGAACACTGTGCCTGAGCTGCTCTCTCTTCCTCACTCTGTTCCTGCCTGCTTCCCCAGTCCACTGCCTTCCGTGGCAAGTCTAAAAAGCTTCAGTGTGTAGCCAACCATCACTTTTCCAGCCTTGTTTTTCTTAATCCTTGACTCAGTCTACATGACTGCCTGCTCCGTCCTTAAGATCAATGTTCCCCAAACCTCCCTGGCTTGCCTCCCACCTCTTGGGCCTCCATTTATCCATTTCCTACCCCTGAGTGTAAATGTTGGAGCTCCCGGGTCTTGGATCTGGAATCCCTGTTTGTCTACATTTACCATTTATTATTTCATCTAATTCTTCAGCTTTACATACTCCAGAAGTTTGTGACTCTCCAATCTCTATCTGGATTTCCTAACCTCTCCCCAAACTCTTTTATCCAATTGCCTATCTCGCAAATCCACTTAGATGTCTTTTGGTGCATCTCAAACTTAGCAGAATGCAATTTCCTCTCTCAATCTTCCCCATCTCAGGAAACGCACCAATATCTACAGTAACTGAAGCTTAAAACCTTAAGTTGGAAGCAAGCTGCTTCCAGGACATCCAAATCCTACTTCCTTCCATCTTTCCTGCTGTGACGGCACCGTCTTTGCCTGAGTCGTCACATTAGCTTTCTGTGTGGTCTTCCCTCTCCATCCTGATCCCTTCTGATACTGTTCTCCACACAGCAGGGAGGGAGCTGTGACACATTATAAGCAGGTGGTCTCACGCTCTTCTCATACCCTCAATGGCTTCTACTTACCCTGACCTAAGACGTCCCATATGCTGGGGTCCCCCCTTCCCCCATCTGTGTTCTCCTTCCACCACCACCCCCACCTTACTATCCACTCCCACCCCATTTGCACTGGACTTCTTGATGGTTCTCACAAAACTCAAGCTTGTTCCTGGTTTAGGGCCTTTCAATGAGTCCTCTCCTCTTCCTTAAGTGGTTTTCCTACATATCTTCACACAGCTGACCCTTGTCGTGTGTGTCTCAGCTTATACGTCACCTCTCAGAGAGGTGCTTCCTGCCTACACAATCTAAGGTAGCCTGCCGAATCTTCATAATCATATCACTCTGTTTTTTGTTAATTTAATTTTCTTAATTTATTATTTTTTTGAGGAAAATTAGCCCTGAGCTAACATCTGCTGCCAATGCTCCTCTTTTTTTTTTGCTGAGGAAGACTGGCACTGAGCTAACATCTGTGCCCATCTTCCTCTAATTTATATGTGGGACATCTGCCACATGGCTTGAAAAGCAGTGCATAGGTCCATACCCGGAATCCAAACAGGTGAACCCCAGGCCATCGAAGCAGAGCATGAGAACTTAACCGCTGCACCCCCAGGACGCCTGCTCCAGTTTGTTTTAATCGTGTCACCGCTCTCCTTCTGATATGAAAGTTTCCGTTTGTGTATCGTCCATCTTTCTCCCTTCATGGAGAGGAAACTCCATGACATGGACTTGTCTGCTGATTCATCACGGCAGCTCTTGATTCTAGAAGAGTATCTCGCACTGACTAGGGGCTCCATCGGTGTGTAGAGAATGAGAGAGTAAATTAACGACAACCCCTTCAGTACAAGTGGAATCCAGAGTTGGATAAACATAGGAAAGGAGGATGATTTTCACCAAAGTTCTGTTTTCATCTGAGGGACATTCAGTCCCAACTCAACCACATTTTCATCTCTCTCTCTCTCTCTCTCTCACTCTTGCTCTTTATATTCATCCACACACACATATGTATGTGTATTTTTTTTTTAAACATTTTATTTTTTCCTTTTTTTCCCCAAAGCCCCCCGGTACATAGTTGTGTATTCTTCGTTGTGGGTTCTTCTAGTTGTGGCATGTGGGACGCTGCCTCCGCGTGGTCTGACGAGCAGTGCCATGTCCGCGCCCAGGATTCGAACCAACGAAACACTGGGCTGCCTGCAGCGGAGCGCATGAACTTAACCACTCGGCCACGGGGCCAGCCCCTGTATGTGTATTTTTGATAACTTTCTGTGCTGTATTGAGTACATAGTATGTTAAGACCATAGTCTTCCAGCCAATGTCCTGATCGTGTGTAAATTTATGAGAGAAGAATCGTACTATGTGACATATTAACAGGTTAGAGTGAGAAGGAAGGGTTGTAAGAAAAAAAAAGACAGAAAATGCTTGCTTTCAGAAAACAAAGAATGAAATTCTGCCTGATTACTGGTTCATTTCATCTCCTTTTCCTTTCTGAAAGATTTCCAGAAACCATGGGATTTCAAAGTCATGTTCTGTACTTGGAAATTCTGAATGATATAAATAATTCTCAGTAGGAAATAAGATGACTGATACACATAAATAGGAAAGAAATGTTCTTGGATTGATATTTCCAACAGTTTTCCAAACCAGCTTCACATCTTGGCCTAAGAGCATATAATCAGTATTCCCATCAGCTGACTCAGGCCAGTTCGGGCAAAAACAAGGGCAGTTTCAACCTCTTCTGCCATTGCCAAAACATCTAGATGATCTCTGAGAATTTGGCAGTACTCGTAGCAAGGGGAAATTATCCAAACATAATACACGTTGCAAAGGTATGGGGGAAAGAATTCTGGAGTGGAGTATTTCACCATGATAAACCCAGCAGAAAAGGTGGGAAAATAATGATCAATGGCCATAAAAAACAATCTATCACAATTAGATTTGGGGCTCTACACAGTGGGGTCCTTACGCCTCAATGGAAATGTCACTTCTTCCATAGCAGAGAGAAGTCTGAATGAATAAGCAAAAATTAATAACAGGTGGAAGGAAATTTGTATTCCCCTTCCTTAAATTTCCCTTATAATTCAAGGATTCCTCTTTATGGCAAATACTATTCTTAATGAACGCTTCACTTGGAAACGTTGAAGTTAGAATTGGAAACAAATTCTAGGTGGAAAATGAAAAATGGAAATCTCTTTGCACGTCTTCCTTGCAAACATCATCGTAGAGGGGAAGGAATATTTCAGAGGAAAACGTACCTCATTCTGCATCTCTACTCCCCCAGCAGTATGTGGACCGTCTTGAGAATGGAGTCTTATAACAGCTCCAGACAGTACCCGGGGTGCAGCTTATTGTAGCAAATCTCATTTCCACCTTCCAGCTGAAAATAAGTTTTGGGAACTTATTTTATTGTGGACGTTGCTGCCATTTAGGTTTATTCATATATGGTTTTCAGGCTCACAGAATGTAAAAGGAAAGAAGTTTTAAAGCAAAGCCCTTCATTACATTTCCTACTTTGGGGAAATTATAAGCCAGAAAAGCAGCAGGCAACGGGATGTCTTGATTAAGAATAGCAGTATTGCAACTACCTGCTTGACTTCCTAGGCTTTTCTTTCCCAGAGGAGATTAAAACTTGTAGACTCAGAGCACACCTGTGGACTCAGAGCACACCTGTCAGAGGGAATTGCAAGAGAAAGTACCCAGTGGTGTGCACGATCCACCTGTGTCGTGCCTACTTTGACTCTGTTCCAAGGACACCAATGACGGGGCTCTGTTTTGTCTCCTATCCCTTGGCCGCTGCCTTGGACTTTGATGACCCTTCCTTCTGGAAGCCCATAGCAGCTGCCCAGCTTGCATCACTCCTCCACCTTGCTCTCAGCAAAGAGGCAGTGTGTGTGTGTAATGGCATCCTTTAGGGGCAAAGTAGATTTGAATAAAACAGAAAATGGGGAAAGGCAAGATTTAGGGAAAAAATAAGATAGCAGAAAGTGTGAAAAGGGTCCTATTTCTTAGACAAACTGCTCTTTTATTTAAACCACCACCTGGGATTTAAGTCCACTGGTTTGGGGTCCTATAATAGTTAAACGTGTGATGTATAATAAAATTTAAAATAAAATTTAAAAATAAAAATAAATAGCTATATGTAGAAATACACAAGTTATCCACTTAAAGTGGTCAATTGCAGCAAATAAAATAGAGAAAAGACAGAAGCTTGAATGGCTCTAATATCCCGTAGATTTAATTCTGGAGACATTTTTTGTGGTGACGCAGTGTTAATCCCGTAAGACCTGGGCTGACCTAGTTTCATCCGGGCTCATGTGTCCTGAGGATCACAGCTCTGACATTGGCATGAGCGGCAGTTCCCTCTCCAGACCTGGCATCATATAGTTTCCCTCAATGGACACTTGATGCCTCTGTGTGTGTGTGTGCACTCGAGAGTGTGTGTCGTGCATGCACGCTTGTGTGTGCGTGTGTGTGTGTGCACGCTGGGACTAACTCCACAGGCAGGCTTTACTCCCAGAGGCTGAGTTTCCTGAATTACAATCGAAAATGGCTCCACCTGGCTTTTTGTACTCAGGCAAACGATTGGCACTAGTGTGTTTTCTAAGACCTTCTTGGCACTTTCTCCAGCCTTTCTTCTTGGCTAAGCATAGCAGCTACTAAACTTGGGTTTCTTTTTAATGGCATCTGAAACAGGGTGATTAAATAGGACACGGGCCCCAAGCTGGGAGAATGTTCCACACCTCAGAGATAATCGCTCTCCGCAGGATGCTCTATTTCGAGAGCAACCTGAGATTTACTTAGATGACTTCTTGTGGACAGGCGACTTGAAAGACCAGGTAAAGCTTCTGCTACAGAAACCACTTAGTGAAATTATATTTGCCAAGCTTATTTTTATCTACGCCTCAGCTTCACGTCTGAATTAGAGGGGTCCCTAAAATAGTTCAGTCTGTGAGCTGCTTGTGGCTCAGCAAGAATTCTCTTGTCTTGTAACAGAAAATGCTGGTAGTTCATACTAGGATTATGAGACATCTAGATAATTTTTATGTAAACTTTTTATGGAAATATAGCTTAACTTACAAAAAAGTGCATGTATCAGCAAACCTGTGTATTGTGGATTCTCTCCATCCCCAGCAATATCATTAACCTTTCTGGGAATCCCAAAACACTATTCATTCTAGGAAATAGATGTTCTTTCACACTGCAAATTATTTTACGACTTCCTTCTTTCCTGAAGAATAGCCAATAATTCAACCCTGGCTTTATAATATCTTACTTAGCACCCTCCATACTTAGAAAGATAAGTGCCACAGCTCCACTCAGCTACAGCATGTCCCGTCTCCCCGTCAATACCGTAAATGTGTGGAAGTTTAGGACTTGTCAGCATAAAACAGAAGCTCTGGCAACAATGAGGCTGCTCCCTCCTCCAGGAAGAAGAGAAGAACAGAGGTGGTTTGGAGGGTGGCTGGCCCTCCGCTGGGATGGACGGGCGGGTGTGGAGGAATCACTCCTTTCCGTCTTTACCCATCCCTGTGGCCCACAGGCCCTGCTTGTCTGACTGTCCCAGAACTGGGCTGTGACTCCAGGCCTCGAGGAAAGCCTCAGCCCCCTGTGATGAGAATTTTTCTCTTCATGCCACCCCCCAGCTCATCTCTCCTTATTTTATCTCCTTCATCCCCTGAAACTTCCTCCAGGACTCCACGGTTCCTCTAGGGTCTGATGTCCTCTGACCTCCACGCTGACATCTACCCATCCCACCCTCAAATGTTACCTGCCCCGAGTTCCGTTCCCTGAACATGATCTCCATAATGTCACAAAGCAGGAGGCCGTTCCCTCTATTTTTTGGTATGTGGGTTGCTGCCACAGCATGGAGCACAGCATGCTTAACCACTAGGCCACTGGGCCAGGCCCCTGAAGCCCTCACACTTTAAGATCCTGAGGATTCTTGATTCAGCATTGCCCCATGTGGTGTTCGCCGGCTCTCTGCCATGCCCCGTGGCATCTGGCACATCCTTTCTCTCACTGATTAGAGTTACATCCCCACATTTACGAAGTACCTCCTGTGTGCCATGCATTGCACTGTTTGTCTCATTTAATTTTATGCAAGAACGTCTCTGGGCCACAGTACCATCCCTACGCTATAAATCAGAACTTGAGGTTTTATGGGGGACGTGCTCAGTTTTCCCCAGGTTACACAGCTAGTGAGTTCCCGAACCAGGATCCAAATGCAGGTAGCTCTGATTCTAAAATCCATGAAAATAATGAATGATGTTCTCCAACACATTCCTTATCTAATTCAGCCAACTCGATGGCTACAATGTTAGCAGAGTGACGCTGACTGTGCTGAAGGTCCCCAGGGAAATATCCGGATCCACCTCGTCTCTTTTTCAGGATTGGGGCCTTTCCTCCTAGGCTGTTACATGCACAGATGGAGAGCAGAGGGCCCACTGGAGCTGGGGTTCCCAAAACCAAGTCCCAACCAGCAGCTTCTCATCCTTTGGGAACCTGCAAGATGGCGAATTCCCAGCCCCACTTCACACCCAGAAGACCAGAACCCCGGGCGTGGGGCCCCGGATCTATTCGGAGAGGCCTCCAGGGCGTCTGGTATGTGCTCCTGTTTGAGAAGCCCTGAGCTGGAGAGGGAAGCAGTGCAAACCATGCGTGAAACATCATCTTTAATAATCAGGAGCTGAGTCAGCGTGTGTCTAAGGCGGTGGTTCCCACTCTGGGCTGCGCACGGGAACGCCTGAGCATCCAGGAAATTCCTCGCCCGGCGTTGGGGTGTTCCAGGCGACTCTCACCTGAGAGGATGCTGCTGTTGGAGCTGTGGGGCTGGGAGAAGCCACGGGGCTCTAGGTTAGCTCCAACTGCAGGCAGGGGGGCCTTCAACAATCAGGGGTCCCAAATGTTAGCAGAGGGTCAGTGCTGTTTTGGAGGGCAGTGTGCCAGTCACACATTTGTAGAGCCACTTAACCCAAACCAGTCTCCTTGTCTGTGTGCAGGAGTCTCACACAGGGTCCTCGCACTGTGCCCACACAGTAAAAGTTTTTGTTGTGTGGGTTGTATTGATTCCAGAGGGAAATGAGAAGGGACTCTCTTTTTTGGGAGGAAGAGGTTAGTAGGAATGACACGAGCGAGGTTAGTAAATTTAGGGAACAGGGCTGAAGTTGACAAGACTTTAGGGAGAGCCTGGCAGGTGGATGAAGCCGGCAGGAGACCCCAGACCTGCACTGTTAGCGTTCTTTCAGGAGGGAGGGAGCCATGGGGGGCCCCGCAGGGTGGAGCCCTCGGAGGAGGGGCCGGCGGAGATAACATCATTCAAAGCATGAGTCAGTCCGTGGGCACCTGCTCACTCCCCTGCTGCAGGCCTGCATCCTGGAGGGTGTGAGGGGCAGAGGGGGAGCTGGTAGGCAGATGTTGGCTGCAGTGGAAACGGGCTGCCCTGAGGCTGGCAGCCACAGAGATTTCTGGAACCTGCAGATGTGATCTCGTCCGGCTGACCTTCTGGTCAGCATCCTGATGAGACAGCTTCTATGAAATGGCCTGAGTGGCTGCCCTTCAGACGCCCCGTGTCCACTCTCCTGCCCTGTCCTGCCCATGGGGCTCAGGGGGTTGAAAGGGGAGCAGCCGGCAGCCAGCATTCCTGTTTGGGGATCAAGCCTGATCCTGGGGATCCGTTCGCCTCTAGCAAAGTCTGGGCTCCTGAACACCCGTCTCCATCTCTCCAGCCAGTGCCCTGGTCTGTGATGTAGGATTACTGGACTACATTAAAGCAAGGAGACTTCTCCAGCTTTAATTTTTTTAATTTGCATTGTGCCTATGATATGTAACAATTTTATCGGACAAGAGGCCAATTTGGCCAATTTACTTGCAAGGTAGGTGTTAGTCCTGTCACCAACACCATCTCATAAAGTGCTTAAATTAGAATCCCTGGGATTTTCAGTCATGGGAATAAAGTTGGGTTTAATTATGTTTATATACTTGTAGGGTTTGTAAATTCTTGGGAAGGAAACTGGTCAGCAGTAATAATAACTATGCATTGATTATCTACTATGTGCTAAGGGCTTGCCCTCATATGTCTTATTTAATTCTCTTAACAAGCCCACATGCGGTAAAGGAATTAATTTGCTGAAGTCACAAAGCCAGCCAATGACAGTAATGGATATTTATATCCGCTTAGTGTTTCTTTCCCTCTTCTTCTGCTAATGTCACCTCTTAATTTGGGGAATTGCCTCTCCTTACCCTGTGGGGCTTCTGTTTAAAGCAGCCACCCCATCCCCACCCCAACCACACCCTCAAGGACTGGCCAGTTCTGTTGCTTCTGGCCATAATGGTTGGTCCAAAGATGAGCAAGTGACCCCAGTCTAGCCAATCAGAGGCCTTCCCTGGGGTTGCATAAGTGGCCATTGAGAAAGTATGTGTTCGCTCTTTCTTTCTTTCGGAGGTGAAGTAAGCCAGCCTCTGTCTGCAGCCTCAGTCCCACCGCCAGCACCAGCAGGAAAGGAAACCTTCTACTTCGGCCTCAAGAGGGAATGAGACCACATGGAAAAAAGAGGAAGGGAGAAAGAGGCCCTCGATGCCCTCATTTCTCAAAATAGCCAGGCCAGCTCCGTCCCCAGCCTTCCCAGCTACATCGAGATCCATTCTCTTTTACAGTTAAGCTAGTCTGCGCTGGATCTCAGTCACTTCCAACCAGGGTACTGACCAGACTGTGGGCAGAGCTGGGAGGCGACCTTCGGACTCTCCTCTGTTCCTACACCCAGTTCTGCAACGAGAGGAGGGAGTACACGTCAGAGCTATTGTCGTTGTGGAATTTCTCCCCATGGATCCAATTCCAGGGCCAGCCCCCACCCAGCACACTCAGCCCGTCTGGTGGGCTACAGCCCCACCTGCATCTCCGTTCGTGGGCTTTGTGGAAGGAGGACCGTGGTCTGCCCGCCATCTGTCAGAGAGGGGCCCAGTGGCCGCAGGGAGTGTCTTCCACCTGTGAAATAGTTGTTGGTCAACCCTGTCCTGCCATCAGACCCCCAGAACAGATCTTCCAAGTTTTCCAATTACTTATAAAAACGAATAGGAAGTTGTAAGTGTACCTCCTGTCGTTAACTAAAAGTCCTTTTCTTATTCACCACAGACAAAGAGGATTTTCTCCCAGTTGCTATGGGACCTCACCAAACACACACACACGTAGGCACGCACAGAAACATACGTGGACACACTCACCTTTGTAACAGTAGAACCAGATTAAGATGAATTTCGAGAGCAGCCTTAAATTGGGAAGAAACAGCAGCATGGCATCCTGAAGTCTACCTGTGGACAAAGAGAGAGAAGAGTCAAGGAGGAAGAAACGATGCTGGTTACTCACCTTATGCTGAATATGAGCATAATATTCATATTATGCTGAATATATGCCAGGTGGAAACTCCCTCTGTGTGCCATTCTCCTCCACACAGGCAGTGCACTGCAGTCTCTGTTCCTTCTCCAAAGTCAGTATGAAGCAGTGGTTCCCAAACGTTTGTACACACCTGGTTCATCTGGGGAGCTCATTGAAATGTGATTTCTGATAGAGTATGTCCGGGATAGGGCCCACGCATTTGTCTCCCTAAACAAGCCTTTTTGGGGATTCAGATATGTGGGACCCTCTGAATAGCCTTAAAAGCCCGGGGCCATGTGATTGTCTGGATCCCTGGCCCTCAGCTATGCTGCCTTTTGGTCTCCCCTCATCCCAAGCAAAGGTGGAATGTCTCAGGTCAGCCCCAGACTTTTCTCTTTTACATTTTTATTTCCACCGACAACTCTTCCGCCATCACATTAATTCTGAATTTCCTATTTCTCCAGCCCGGTCTTCTATTTTTAACTTGGAAAAAAATTACTACTGGTGGATGAGTCACAGGTGGGCTAAACGTTCTGGCATTCCTTCCTTCGCTGGGTTTATTAACGTGGCTGGAAGCTTTGGCAATGGGGACCGCGATGACTATAGGTTCTGTTCTGTGTGACTGGGTGTTTATGACCTTGCTTCCGATCGGCATCAGCAGCTGCTTACTCTAATAATGAAGTGGTGAAGAGGCAGCCTTTCTGATTATTACTGAGAGTAGTATTTAACTGGGGAAGAAAGTATCAGCAAACGACTGATAAAGGGGAGCAACCTTCCAGGATTGGATCCTACTGTCTATTTTCTCTCACCAGTATCAAATTCATGTCTTAGTTCGTTGTCATAAGGTAAGGGCAAAGGCGCTTTGTGTCATTTTCCTCCTTGAGGTTAGGAAACTCTCCTGTTAGGATCCGCTTGCCAACACTTGCGGCACGGCTGGCACAGTGGACCTGTATTTACCTATTTCAGATTTTGGCATTGTTTTTTTGCCCTAGTCTATGTGTTGAGCAGCAACTGGTCTTTGCAGATGCAAAGTGTGCAGCTAAAGAGGCCAAAGAGCTCTGGAGATTCCTAGTTCGTCCTCTGGAGTATTTGTCTAAATCTACAAAAAACGTCTGTTAGAAAGCAGCTTCTCTGATTCTCGCTAGACTGCACCTCTTTGAGGTCAGGGAGCTGCCTGGAGTCTGTCCTGACTTCCAGGAATGCCAGCTTCTAGCACAACCCGAAAGCAGGGACATGACTGCATAGGTATTGAGTAAGGCTTAAATGCGTCTGTAATATTAATATGGACATCACACTGGGAGCAAAGTGAAAATGCACTAACTTCCAGAGAGAAAACAACAGGGCTACACAAAGCAGCAGAGGTGCAAGTGTTCAGAGTTCTCACACAAAACGGTGGAAGATGGAAGTCGATAGGAAAATACCTTCAAAATCCCAAAGGAAAGTGACCTCGAATCTGGAATTCCATACCCAGCCCAAGTGTTGATGAAGAATGAGACCAGAATAAACGTGCAAGTGCTCAGTATTTACCTTCAAGAACCCTCTCTCAGGAAGTACTGAAGAATATATTTCTCCAAAAAAAAGAAGACACATGGATCAAAAATAGGGGTTCCAATGCACCAGCGAGGTAGGGTTCTTAGGATGCTGGGGGGAGCTGGAGGGCGAATGGGGACAGAGCAGGCCAACATGTGTCGGGGCAGTCAGGGCTCTAGGAGGCGTCCTTCCAAAAGACCACAAGGACAAGTTCAGACGTCTGACACAGTGGAGAGGAGATTTAGACCATGGGCAAAGTGTTTGGGGTTAAATTTATAGAAAATACATAGATAGCTAAGCAATCCAAAAGGAGATCATTACTAAAAACAGGGATAATAAAATGTACAGGAGAGGAAAAATCACATTTTCTGCTTGCCTCTCCTGTGGACAGTGTTTACATGGTCATAGCAACAGAAACCAAAGTTGATAAAACCAAAGCTCACTGTGGGAGGAGGAAGGACGACCATTATGGTGCTTGTGGATGGGTTAGCACCAGAGTCCAAGAGAGCTGGTCCCCTCTCTTCAGAGCGGCTACTTCATAGATTCTGCCTTAATCTGAAAAATCAAAAGGTAGCAATATGACCAGGGCCGGCCCGGTGGTGTAGTGGTTATGTTCACATGCTCCGCTTTGGCATTCGCCTGTGAGCCCAGGGTTCACAGGTTCGGATCCTGGGTACGGACATACACACTGCTCATCAAGCCATGCTGTGGCAGCATCCCACATACCAGATGGAGGAAGATTGGCAATGGATATTAGCTCAGGGCCACTCTTCTTTACCCCAAAAAAAAAAAAAAAACTAGCAATATGATCATTTTACTTAAAAAAAAATAGAAGCAACTACACAAAAGAATCAGCCAAATAAATTGAAATTGATTGCTCTGAGACATAGGGGAAGAGGTTGGGGTACTGCTATTTTCTTAATAAACTTTGTAGAAATCTTTACATTTTTGAACTGTAAGCATGTATTTTTTTATATGGAAATAAAAACCAACAAATCGACAAAATGTTTGCATCATAGAGACAACTTTTAAGACTACACACCGTCACAGAAACCCCTCGTGCAGCTCCTGGTCACGCCCTCTGGAAGGTGGGACCTCTCTCCAGCAGGTGTACCTGAATGAGGAGGAATAAACCCATCCTTTCTCCAGCTGGGACAGCACGACATTTTCATGAAACTCTTTGGCGACCTCTGCTTTGACTCCAGGGACATTTTGACGCAACTTACAAAAGATATCATTAAGCTTTCGGCTATTTTTATTCCAAGTAATGTGCTTAACGGACGTCCTCCCCTCTCCCCCGGGCCTCAGCTTTTCCGAAATCTCCCCGAATCCCATCTGAGGATGGTTGCAGGCGGAAGGGCAGCAACAGAAGAAAGAACCCAGTCGTCTCATCAATAATGCATTCTGGGCTGGCATTTTGTAACGCAGAATTTGGGCATGACATCATGAAAAGGGACTCTCTCAAAATGGCCCAGACCAGAGAATGACTGGGTCAAACTGATCATGTCACAAGAGCTGGCCTTACTAACAACACCCTCGGTTATTCTGGGATACCAGTGAGGCTTCGAGCTCCCAGAAGGAAAGAAAAACAAACAGGGACTCTCCCAGTCCCAGAGTCGTAGGACTTCTGGCGCTAAGACTCTGCTCTGCCTTGGCGTTCGAGAGCCATTTAGAAGCAGAATCGTTTAAGGGAAAGAGTTCAGCTTTGCGATCATACCACTATCCAGCTCCCTTAGTGACCAGTTCTGTGACAAATCCTCTGGGTTTCATTTTTCTTATGTATAAAGTAAAAGTAACTATTCTGTCACAGGCTTCCTATAGAGGGAAACTGGAACTACGCCTTTCATTCCCGAGGTCCACGTCTTACGCATCTTTGATGACTTGTACAGAATACGTCGCTTCGCACACAGGAGATTTTCTGTAAGAATCTGTCAGATTAATAAGGTACATTGAATCGGTTAATGCAGAGCCAGACATTGGCAGGTAAGAACTAGTACCCGTCTATTTCCCTTCTCCCCGCAACCTCACCTCCTTCCTCTCTGAAGAAATGAGAACCCTCGATGTTAAATGGCGAGTTTGAGGTAGGGGCAGAAATTGAATTGGGACTAAGGTTGCCAAACTTAGCAAACAAACACACAGGATGCCCAATTCAACTTAAGCTTCAGATAAACAAGCAATGATGAATATTTGGGACGTAACACTAAAAACACTGTTGCCTATCTGAAATTCAGCTGTCCCCGAGCATCCCGCATGTCAACTGACAGCTCCAATTTCTACAAAAATGCTCTGTGTCAGAGTCCAGGACTCTTTCCAGTTGATCATCCTTCTCTAAAGAAGGACAGTGGTGAGAAGTCGGAGCAGTGGGAGCCCGGTGGGGTGGGAGAGCGGCGAGAGGGAGACCCAGATGCACGTATACACACGTCTACGTGGTCAAGAACCCCGGGCTGAGGCTCACAGAACAGCTGGCTTGTGCCCTGAAACCCTACGGAAATATGACAGCCCTGCCAGACAGAGAGTGATGTGCTCGGATGAGAAGAGCACTGGACACACTCTGAAGAATGTGCAACCGATCGCTCGTTCCCTGACTAGTGGGTGCCTGCCTGCATTCTCTCAGGTGTCATGAAAAACGGAGCTCTCAGGGGAGCCTGCCTCGTCCATCATCTCGGCTTTCCTTTCGCTCTGGGCCTGTGTTATCAGGCGTAGGTATTATACATCTCAGCCTTGGTCCGGATTATTTACGGAGACTGCTGTACGTTGCATGTATGGTGTTTCACAGACGAGGTGGCAAGGCCAGCTTTTTCCCTCGCTGTTCAGATCCATGCTTGCTCCACAGGCAGCAACGGGCCAAGAGTGTGGATGCTGTGGAGCGGCTTCAGAGCCGGCCTTTCAAGTCACCCGGATGAAGCTCAGTGGGTAACCACATAAACACATCTCTTTGTTCTTCCCCTCTGACACACGCTTTCCTTTAAGTCTAACCAGCAGAGTCATGTAATATGCGACAAGCCCTTTTCAAAATCCCCTATGAAATAAATGGAGTTAGTGCTCAAGCCCCGGGATGGCTCCCTCTGCCCAGGACACGCCTCACACTTGGGGCTGCCAGGGGACAGCTGTAAAACAGGGCTGTACTTGAAACACAGGTAGGAAAACAAGTCAGTGCGGGAGCAATCGAAACTTCCCTCCTGCCAGGAAAGATCAGCAGAAACTATGAATAGAAAAAAAAAGAACTTCGAGGTAAATGGAAAGGTTTCGCCTTGAAGAAAGGCTGATTGTTTTCACAAAAATCCCCACAGACCTGGCAGCAATTATTAAAGAAGTGATTACGGAGGATAAGGGAATGGAGATTCAGATGAATATGCAAACGATCAAAGTAATGTTTAATGCAAAGAAGTAAGCAAACGGTAGAAATAATTAAAAGCTGTTAAGGCATATGTCTGTTTGGCTGATGCGTATGTTATTAAAAACAAGACTATAGCCAGTTGCCTCAGAATCTGTCTTTGCCAGGAACTGTTTCCACGAGTAATGGCGTTCAGTAATGTCGGACATCCATGGAGAGGGTGTCGGCTGGCCCATCGGGGTTTCCACTCTGTCTCACGCTTCAGCAGACATTCACCGTGGAAGGAACTCACCTCTGGCCTAATCGAAAGCGAGGGGCTTCAATCACCTGTTCCAGCCAACTGTTAATTATCTACAGATGGACCACAGGACACCAGGAGCCCTCTTCAAGTCACCTGCTGGCTGGACACCCGGCTCACCACCCCTTTCTTTCTTCTTGGCCTTGAGTGGACATGGAGGGAGAAACGGTTACTGGTGCAATGGCAATCTGTCCTTAGGTTTTTTCTTTTTCATTTGGCTAGAGTTGAGGGAAATCATATGACGGGCGCCAGATTAAAGTGCCAACAGCCTAGAGGGTTGACCACAAGAGACCAACTCAGTTAAGATTAGGTTTGATGGCAAATAACAAAATAACAGTGACTTCAGGAAGGTGGGGTTTATTTCTGGCTTACAAAGTAGAGGGAGTCATTTAGGACTGACACGAAGTGCCTGTGACTCTCCGGTCTTGCAGCACTGCCACACCTCACAGGTGGCCTCTGCTTGCTCACGAAGACGGCCGAGCTCCTCCATCCTCACACCCACACTCCTGCAGCCGGGGGTGGGGGAGGATGGGATGCCCACTGCCTTGAGGGAGGTTATCGGAAGCTGCACTGACTCTCCCATTCACTGTGTGGTGGAACTTTGTCACCTGGCTACACCTGGCTGGAAGGAGGCTGGTGAACATGGTCTTTGCTCTGAGTGGCTACGTAGCTTCTTGAAAATTAGAAGCTCTACTGCTAAGAAAGAGGGTACGGATATTGAGGAGTAACTAACTATACCATCAACAGGACCCTAAAACTCCCCTAATTGGTTGAGTATAGACGCCCATTAACCAGGGTATCAACCCATGAAGCCCCTCGCTGAGCACAGGGGCCTGAATATGATGCATCCCTAATGGGAAGTAATCCACCCATTCTCCCTGTAAGAGATGAAAAATATAAACTTTTAGAGCTTTAGATAATATATTCAGATGTAGACTTATAATTCATGATTAATAAATTTGGTTACTCATTTGTATTTAAAATAGCTTATTATATAAGGTAATCTAGTCATTTAAGAAATATTATTTTTCCCTTATATTTTATAATATAGTTATTAATAATCAAACTGTTCACAAGTGTACTTGACATCAGCCTTGAGCTAGAGTTCCTAACAGTCTCTGTGAAGTTGGCTTTTGAATCATCAGTGGAATTGTCGTTGTCAATTGCTTGCCTCCTCCCCACAATCAGCGACCTCAATCAACATGGCGATTCTAGCTATTTAAGTTCTACGTGGTTCAGATGACGAACCGACACATGAGTTCTTGATCTTGCTGAGTGAATCAAGAGTCACTGGTGATCAGAAAATGAATTCGTTCGAGCAGCCACGTGCCATCGTCACTCTGAAAAAAGAAAGGATGCTGGTGGTCTGTTTCGTCGTGTCGTGCTGTATAAAGAGAGGCGCCCTGAGACCAGCTGGGCGTGCGGCCTTCCGCGGTGCTGTCAGAGGGGGCAGCGCTCGTCACAGCAGTTGCTCCTGATGCATCACCCTTGAAATAGTAGAGCCCAGAGGAGCGTCAATATTTAGAAATTAAAATTTCTAATTTTACTATATCTGATATTGTATTATAAAAGTAATTTAAAATTGCGTATTAGAGAGTCTTAGTGTGCTGATTCTCCAGTCTACCCTGGGTATTACAGCCAGCTGGGCAAATCTATTTTTATTTGCAGACTCCTGGGCTCCCCCCAAGACCTACTGAATAAGAATTTCTGGGACAGGACCCTGGAATCTCTGTTTTTCCAAAGCTTCTGAGGAGACTTTGAGGCAGCCAACCTGACTTTGTTCCTTGGACCAGGATTGGGGAAACATTGGCTAAAACTTTCGAGAATATCCTGCTCAAGGTTTGGAGGGTGGGGTCAAAATTCAGGAGGCAACACTCTGGCCAAAATGCAGGAAAGGACACTTGACTAAATTAGCTGTGATTTAGAAGTCCTACGATGATGCGTGTGTGTTTTCTGTTTTTGTTTTTTTGCTGTAAGACGTTTCC